ACAACGCAAACTAAAACCCTAAGTGACAAAGCTGCTTTGTTTGACTCGTTTCACGACCAAAACGACACCGCTTTAGTGCTGTTATAAAGGAACCCAATGGGCCAAGCTTTATTAAGTAGAGATGCAAAAGAATTTTTTTTCTTTCTTTCTATTTCACAATCAATAAAAACATCTCTGTTTCGTGTCTGTAAACTCTCTACAAAGATCAGTATAGTTCCTTTCTCTCTTCTCTCTCGGAATTTTTCTTGGAAACGAATCTGTAACAGAAGAATAAAAAATAAGAAAAACGAAAAAAAACTCGCTAAAAAATAGTACAAACCTCACTCGATTTTCTTTACCACTCTCTCTGTACACTTTTTTTTTTTTGTTGTTTAATCAACTCGGAATGGGCAAACCAAAGTTTTGAAACGTTCGAATCTCTCCTCTGAGACCTGCAGTGATAATCACCATTCCCCAAGAAGCTGAAACTGAAACATTCCCTGAGTTAACTCCGTTGGATGACAAATCCGTGCTAAGACGATTCCCACTTCTGTTCCTTCCAAACAACAGTTTCTCTTCAGGCCAAGTCGCTGACATTCTATCGAAATAGTATCCGTTTGTTGCGCTCGAAATGATCCCGTTCCGCGGACTGTTCAACCGATCTACAGTCCTGGGCTGGTCCACCGATATAGGTGGATGGTTCGCTGTGGAGACTTTGTCCAAGTTATTATTGGTGTCTCCGTTACACCCTGCTCTGTTTTGGGTGGTTCCCCATGTTTCCGTTGAGGCCATCCCGGGCCATGAGATTGCTGCTGAGACGTCTTGGCTGTGGAAATGCTCGTAAGAGTTTGTAACCGTCACGTTCTTGTTGTTGTTACTCCTGCTTGGTCGAGAAGCAGGGGATTCGTACTTCCATATGTACACGTGTGAATCCTCGCTCGCTGAAACAACATATTTCCCATCGGCTGTGATGGAAGCAGAGATCTGGCTGCTCGTATTCCGAAACCCTGCCAAATAAAATGAAAAGATTTGCTCGTCAATGAACTGTTAGGAGACAAAGCTTGACACTAGGCGTGCAGTTTCTTTGTTTACCTTTAAGTTTGTTAACTAGATCAGTACCATCAACAACGCGGATCCGTGAATCCGAAGATGTGACAAGGACTTCAGACGAGCTTCCAGGCACAAACTATGGAATGAAGTGAGACAAAGCAAGCAACTTTTTTAAAGCCAGCAAGAAAAAAAATAACCTTTTGTTTCATCAGATTTTGCTCCTGAAAAAGTGATTCGTGTTACCTGGAAACCAGTTATCTTTTTTTGATGAGCTTTCTTCTTCTTGTTCTGTAAATTTATCTGGCTTTTCTGTTGCAGCTTGTTATCTGGACAAAAGAACAACATTACTTAATGTTGAAGCATAGGAAACAGCAGAGAAACCTGAAACAAAGTCCCATCAAGAATTTCATCATTACCTGATGCACTATACATTCGACAGCTACCTTTGTATGAACCAACCAATGCGCCCTTCAAGTTAAGACAGAGATAGTTAGAAACTTTATAAAGATTCTTTAGAAGCGATTATAAGACCTGACTTTAAATAATAACTTGGCAGATTTCGTTTACCTGACCGTCTGGAGTGTAGCAAGCAGAAGTGACCATCTCATGAAGATCATACCAATCAACTACTTGACGATCTGGAATGCTCCAGACGCGAACTTTTGCATCTAAGGAACCACTGATGAAGTATTTATCATCAACCGGATTAAACTGAATGCAAGTCACTGTTCCAATCAATAATCAAACACACAAACTGTTATTTTGATAAGCACCAAAAAGGAGAAAAATTCAAAGCAGCAGGAGCAGAATCTACTCACCGTAATCACTATGCGAAAATACTTTCAAGCAAGTCTGACTGGACAAGTGCCACAAACGAACTGTTTTATCCATTGATGAAGAAAGCAAATGCTGAGGAAAGAGTAATAGAAAGCCTTTTTACTCGTAAATCTTTTTTACGAATCAGTTTCATCCAAACAGAACCAAAAAATAAACTAGAATTAAGTGACTAACTAACCTGAGACTTGGACCAAGCAAGGTCAAGCACATCATTCAAATGTCCCTGAAATGAACAAAAGGGCTTCTCCGAAATCCCGAAAACAGAATCTGGAACAAATATGTTGTCCAAACTCAATGACTTTCTACTTATAGAAGTTCTCCCTCTTCTTCTTGGTGACATAGTAGCTGTTAGTTCTGGAGACCCATTATTAGCCAAAAGCATCAACTCCGGTCTATCAAGTAACAACTCTCCCTTCCTTTCAGCCTCGACAACTTGCCAAATATGAATGATGCAATCCTCACCAGCACTAGCGAGATATTTACCATCCAAACTAAACTTAATGCTCCAAATAGAACCATTATGCGCTTGAATCTCCTGCGTCTTGTACAATGCCGTGAGTTCTTTAGATGACTTCCCATACTGTCTAACCCTAACTCTTTCCGGCCCGTGAAAAGAAGATTCTTGAGAATCATCTGTAGCAGAGCTTGACCTCCGACCACCTCTCTCTGATGATGTATCTCTATCATCGCTGCTTCGTCTCTCTTTGCTCTGACCAGTCATGCTACTTGCAACATTCTTTATACTCTTAAACCAACTTCCTTTCTTCTTAGACTTTGATGCATTGTTATCCTTATCGCCATTATCTTCGTTTTCCTTAGTTTTCGTTGATGAGTTCTTATCGGAATCCTCTACGTTCTGTCTTCTCATAAGCTCCTGAACAATGGGAGAATGTCCCACACACATCTCAAACTCCTCCATCGTCATCTGTGTGTCAGTCCCCACTTCTTTTACCTTTTTCCATGTACCGTCTTCTTGAATCTCATTCACTACAAACTCTTTCCCATTATCAAGATTCTTAATAGTACACACTTCCACTTCCTCATTCGCTACACTCTCGCTATGGTTCCTCAACACACAATCAGAGTTTCCATTTAACCGCAAAGAATTCTCACAAAGCATTGACGAATCAATACCAACTGGTTCAAAATTAGAAGTACTAATCTCTGAATGTGAGAGTTTAGTGTCGGAGCAAGAACAAGAATTACCGGGAGGAGAATATCGACGGTCACGATCACCACATTGGCTAGTGGTAATGTCGGATTTCGATCTCCCAATGCCGCCGACACTTTGTGAACACTCTCCGTGATCTCGCCGAGACAATTGATTACACGAGATCGATCGGGAAATGTCGGAGGCTCTTGTGTCTTTCGAGGAAACGGGTTCGCCGCGGGTGAGACCCATTTCGGTTAAAAGCTTCGAACGCCTCTCGGAGACAGAAACGGGTTCGGAGATCCAAACGTCGAACTTTGAAGCAACCATTGGAAACCGAGGGACGGGGAATGGGTATCTGCGGCGATGACCGCCGTTGGATTCTTCAGGGTCATGGGAAGCGGCGGAGGAGATCCGAGGAGAGGATTCCGAATTGGCGTGGTCGGAATCGTAATCGGAGTTTGAAGCGGAGCAAGAGCAAGAAGAGGAAGAAGCTAAGCGATCAAGAGACTCGTAGAAGCAATCGGTGTCTCCGTCTTCTTCCTCGTTTTGGTTGCTCATGGTCGGTGGTGTGGTGAGGCCAGCGAAGGCATTCCCATCGGAAAATTCCTCCGCCGGTGATTTGATCAAACAGAGAAACTAGTCCCCTAAAAACTCAGACTTTCGAGGAATTCTTTATAAAATTATCAAGTCAAAGATTGAAAATTTGTGGGGAATTTGTCGCTGAATTTGGGGATTATATTATGCGTGTTTGAAGAATTCGAAGAATCAGATTTTGGGTTTTCGGGAAGAAGTCAGATCCGATGAAGGCAA